TAGCTATCCTAATATCTAACAAAATAGACTTCAAACTAAAATTAATCAGAAGAGATGGAGAAGGACATTTTATGTTTATCACAAGGAAAACTGTGGTGATATTTTATTTGTACAACCCAATAAAGTTTATCTAAGGATCAGAGGAAAAATTCAGCCACTATATTAAACATAGAAGTCAGGCAATGGTAGCACACATATTTAACCTTATCATTCATGAGGCAGGCATCTGTCTGGATCTCTGTGAGTTCAAGGCCACACTGGGAACAGAGTCAGGTGTGGTGGCACATGCCTTAAATTCCAACACTAGTTAAACATAAGGATTTTGAGATCTGTACCGACAGTCAGGAAGTGACAGAGCTTGGCAGGAAGAGGACATGATATAGTTGGACACAGGGAACAAATGAGATAGCAGAACAGGAAGGCATCTAGGCATGTATATACACGAAGTTGGTCTCTTTTGGAAGCTGAGGGAAAGTAAGGTAAGGAAATAGAAACAGTCATTAAAAGTCTCCCAAACAAAAAGAGCCTAGGGCCAGATAGTTTCAGTGCAGAATTCTACCAGAATTTCAATGAAGAGCTAATACCACTACTCTTCAAATTGTTCAACAAAACATAAACAAAAAGAACTTTGCTAAACTCCTTTTATAAGGTGACAGTCACCATGATATCAAAACCATACAAAGATGCAAATAAGGAAGAGAATTACAGACCAATCTTCCTCATGAATATTGGTGCAAAAATACTCAATAAAATACAGGCAAATCAAATCCAAGAACACATTAAAAAAATCATCCACCATGATCAAGTAGGCTTCATGCCAGAGATGCAGGGATGGTTCAACAAAGAAAAATCTGTCAATGTAATTCATCATATAAGCAAATTGAAAGAAAACAAAACATGTGATCATCTCATTAGATGCTGAAAACCCTTTGACAATACCCAAAACCCCTTCATGATAAAGGTTTCAGAGAGATCATAAATATATTGAACATACGTAAATATAATAAGGGCAATATACATCAAGCCAATAGCCAACATCAAACTAAATGGAGAGGAACTCAAAGTGATTCCACTAAAATCAGGAACAGGACAAGGCTTTCCACTCTCCATATCTATTCAATATAGTACTCAAAGTTCTAGCTAGAGTAATAAAATAACAAAAGGAGATCAAAGGAAACAAACAGAAAGGAGGAAGTCAAACCTTTACTATTTGCAGATGATATGATAGTATACATAAGTGACCTGCAAAATTCTGCCAGGGAACTCCTGCAGCTGACAAATACCTTCAGTAATGTGGCAGGATACAAGATTAACTAAAAATAAAATCAGTAGCCCACCTATATATAAATGATAAATGTGCTGAGAAAGAAATTAGAGAAGCATTGACCTTTACAATAGCCACAGGTAACATAAAATATCTTGGAAGTAACTCTAACCAAGCAAGTGAAAGACCTGTATGACAAGAACTTTAAGTTTTTGAAGAAAGAAATTGAAGAAGATATCAGAAAATGGAAAGATCTCCCATGCTCATGGATAGGTAGAATGATTATAATAAAAATGTCAATCTTACCAAAAGCAATCTACAGATTCAATGCAATTCCCATCAAAATCCCAACACAATTCTTCACAGACCTGGAAAGAATAATACTCAACTTCATATGGAAAATAAAAAACAATGCATAGCCAAAACAGTCCTATAAAATATAAACTTCTGGAGGCATCACCATCCCTGACTTCAAGGTCTGCTATAGAGCTCTAGTAATAAAAACAGGTTGGTATTGGCATAAGCATTGACATATGGATCAATGGGATCAAATTGAAGATCCTGACATTAATCCACCCTCCCATGAAATCTTCATTTTTTGACAAAGAAGCCAAAACTGTACAATGGAAAAAAGAATCTTCAGCAAATGGTATTGGCTTAACTGGATGTCAACATGTAGAAAAATACAAATTAGATCCATATCTATTTCCATGCACAAAACTCAAGTCCAAATTGATCAAAGACTCCAACATAAATCTAGTTACTCTGAATCTGATGGAAGAGAAAGTTAGAAGTAGGCTTGAATGCATTGCCACAATAAACCATTTACTTAATATAACACCAATAGAACAGATGTTGAAAGCAACAACTAATCAATGGGATCTCCTGAAACTGAGAAGCTTCTATAAGGCAAAGAACACATTAATAAGACAAAATGACATCCTACAGAATGGGAAAAGATCTTTACCAACCCCACATCTGACAGTAGACTGATCTCTAAAATATATAAAGAATTCAAGAAACTAGACATCAGAATATCAAACAATCCACTTAAAAAATGGACTACAGAGCTAAACAGAATTCTCAACAGAAGAATTTCAAATGACTGAAAGACATTTAAGAAAATTTTCAACATCTTTAGCCATCAGGGAAACACAAATCAAAACAGCTCTGAAATATCATCTTACACATGTCAGAATGACTAAGATCAAAAACACTGGTGACAGCTTATGTCAGAGAGGATGTGGAGTAAGGGGAACCCTCCTCTATTGATGGTGGGAGTGCAATCTTGTACATCCTCTCTGGAAATCAGTATGTCGGTATCTCAGAAAATTGGGAATCAACCTAGCTCAAGACCCAACAATACCACTCCTGTGTATAAAACCCAGGAGATGCTCAACCATAGCACAAGGACATTTACTCAACTATAGTTGTAGCAACATTATTCATAATAGCCAGAACATGGAAGCAACCTAGATGTTCCTAAAAGGATATACATGGGATATTATGCAGTGGTTAAAAAACAGTGACATGAAATTTGTAGTCAAATGGATGGACTAGAAACAAACATCCTGAGTGAAGTAACCCAGACCTAGAAGGACAAACACAGTGTATACTCCCTTATAAGTGGATATTAGCTGCAAAACAAAGGATAACCAGGCTACAATGCACAACCTTAGAGAAGCTAGGTAAAGTGGAGGACCCTAAAAGTGACATGCATGGATTGGCCTAGAAAGGGGAAAGGGTTAAGATCCTCTGGGTAAACTGGGAGGTGGAAGTTAAGGGTAGGGGATGGGGAGTGGGAACCAGAGGGATAGAGATGGCCAAGTTTTGGGAGGGATGAAGAGCAATGAAAGAGATATGTTGGCAGAGTGAGTCAGTATGGGGTTAGGGAGAAACTTGGTCCTAGGGAAATACCCAGGTACCCACAAGGATGTCCCTAGCTATGACTTCTGGCTATGGTGGATAGAGTTTCTGAACTAGCCTTCCCTTGTAATCAGATTGGTGAATACCCTAATTGTCATCATAGAACCCACATCCAGTAGCAGGTGCAAAGACACACAGCCAAACACTTGTCTGAGCTCCTGAAGTTCAGTTGAACAGAGGGAGGAAGGTCTATAGGAACAAAACAGGTCAAGATCATGATTCAGAAACCACAGAGACAGCTGACCAGAGCTGGTGGGAGCTCAAGGGATTGACAGCTGGGGAACCTGCATGAAACCAAACTAGGCCCTCTGAATGTGGGTGTCAGTTGTGTGGCTTTATCTATTTGTGGAACCCCTGGCAATGGGACCAGGACCTATCCCAGGGACATGAACTGGCTTTTCAGATCCCATTCTCTATGGTGGGATGCATTACTTAGCCTTGGTGCAGGGGTGAAGGGCTTAGTCCCCCAAATTGGTATGCCAGACTGTTGACTACCCAAGAGAGGCTTTACTAGAGATGAGGAGTGAATGGGGGGGTGGGACTGGGGGAGGTAGGTGGGAATGTGAGAAGGGGGGGTGGAACAGTGGTTGATATGGAAAACAGAAAAATTAAATAAATAAAAAAAGAAAAAATAATAATTTTTACTGATATAAATTGTTAAGCCAAATGAAATTAAATTGAAAAGGTACAAATGTAGATGTTTCCTTATTGTACATGTTAGTCTTCAGAATAATTTGAAGACTAAATCTTGGAATCCTTGAAATAATATGTCTGTAAACTAGGAAACATATTACACTATCATTGTATCACTTTGTTTTCCATGATTTAAATTTGAAAGCAAGAAATCCTGATGCAGTAGTGGCATATATGTTACTGGAGTAGCTAACCATTATTTAAAATAAAAAATAAAATGAACCCCATGTTTGACACTGGTAATGTGACTAAGAATCTGAGGCTATATAGGTCATGGACCATGGGTTAAAGCTACTACAGTTATTCTGCTTAGGGAACATAGCAATAAATTACTCTTGATGACCTACATACTATGATACTCATATAGTGCCTTGCTCAACCCTCATCAGAGAAGCTACATATTGCAGTGGATGGAATTTTACACAGAGACTGAAAACTGAAAAAAAATTCAGAGAGTCAAATTTTTGATCACTTAGTCATAAATGGAATGCCTTCATCAAACATCAAACATCAAACATCTCTCCTCATAGGTGACAGAGTTGCTGAGAAATCCAAAGAAGCAGTGTCTTTCTGAAGCCACAGGAGAGATCTTCATATGAACTCACAGAGACTGTATGAGAGTACATAGGACCTGCACAGGTTTAAGTCAGATGATGTCTCAGCACTGAGAAGAGAGAATGGACACTTGTCCCCACCTCTAATTAAGAAACTGTACGCAATTGATACCACATGACAAATGGATAATCAATTTACTTCAATAAATTGTGACTGTATATTTCAATTACACTCCCCATTCCCAGGAATAAAAAGAATGTAATGTATTTACAAATTTATAGAAGTCTTGTTTCAAGGTACAATATGAGTGTGTTGTGTATTTAACTCTGTGTGTGTGTGTGTGTGTGTGTGTGTGTGTGTGTGTGTGTGATAGAGAGTGAATGTCTCTATTTGTGTGTGCATATGTGTTAGCATGTTCTTCCTCTTCACATTGTCTTTATTCTTAAATCCTAACTAGGGAATATCTTTAAAATAATGCTATCATGATTGTTGTTATGGATTGAATATGTGTGTATGTATCTGTCATATTTCGATATCTGCCAGTCTGTCTGTGTCTGTCTATCTATCTAAAACTGCCCAGTGCAATGGTACCACTATTCGCTGTCACAACAATACCAACAATGTAGGTGTCTGTGCAGGCAAGTTTCAAGACAGGGTGTACATCACAGAAGTAGTGATCAATCTCATTGGGTCCACAAAAGGGGAGCTGTACCACCAGAGCCACTTGGATAACAGAGTGAAAGAATCCACCCACCCATGTTCCCAGCAATATCTTGTTACATCTGTCCCGGTCCATGATAGTCATGTAGTGCAGGGGTTTACAGATGGCCACATATCGATCATAGGCCATGACGGTAAGAATGAAGATCTCAGTGCAACCAAGAAAATGAGCCCCAAAGAGTTGTAGCATGCACCCCACATAAGAGATGGTTTTTTTCTTCACTAATAGGTCAACAATCATCTTGGGTGCTATGACTGAGGAGTAGCAAATGTCCACAAAAGATAGAAAGTTGAGGAAAAAATACATGGGGGACTTGAAAAGATTGCCAGTGCAAACTGTGAGCATAATGAAGAGGTTTCCCAGGATTATGAGCATGTAAAAGAAGGAAAACACCACAAAGCATACTTCTTCAACTTCTGGGTTCTGAGAAAGACCCAAGAAAATGAATTCAGTGACATTGTTTACTTCTATGGGATAAAATCTTGAAGCCATATTCCCAAAAGTACATTAAATTACCTGAAATAAAAATGAAAAAGACCATCAACATTCATTTCTCTTTAACCAATGAAAAATTAAAGTGGCTGGACTTGGAAGGTGAGCCCTTATGTCTTCCATACTCAGGCTTCAGTTTAAATGTATCTCTTCTGATAAGCTTACCTCAGTGTTATATCCCCATGCTCTTTTGAGTTCAGATAAGAAGTGAAGTCCAAAGGCATAAGGCCAATTCTTCCAGACTCATATGACACCTGAAGAACTCCCTCCTCTTCTTGTAAGGTTTATACACAGCTTCTAATGTACTTGGATCTTCTGTATAAGATAAACAGACTTCCCTCTGAAGTATCAGCAAATGCTTGCTGCATTTTTTCTATGGAAATGAGAATGTTTTCTCAGATTTTCTCTGCTTCACACTGCCCAGTCTCAGTGTCACATCTGCTCAGAATTTACAAGTAGCACAGCCCCAGTGACTTCTTCATACGTCCCTTCCCCTAAAAATTGGGTCATCTTGAAGTGAAATTATGGCCTCTCATCTGACCTCAGAGTTCAATATCATTATGTAGTGTTATAGAAAGAGTCTTAAATTAGACATATTTGAACTTGTAATAATCCCACTTTAAGCCAAATGAATCAGTTAATTTTATGAGACCTCCCTTAATTTATTTGTAATATAATAAACTTTTAAGGTATTATTATTTGTCATAAATTGTCACTTCTACAATGAAAGTAAATCATTCCCGTAAGCATAGAAAAACCACAAAATCCTGAAGAAGAGACAAAGTTAAGAGAATATGCATCAATATGGTAATAATTAATGATAATAGAAGAATCTTCTGTAGATGAAGCCAGCTCTGCCAGCTTGATCAAGATCCCAGATAATTTCTTCAGCTGCAATAGGGGTCACTCCAGGATTACTCCATAATTTCCTTAACTTGATATTTAAATGCCTATATGAAACAAAGAGAAAAACAAAAGAGGAAATGCTCTGCACTTTAACATCAGCTTTTCTTCATGCATCCTCATATGTCCTGTTTCATATTAGCTACACCATACTGCTTTATGTGGATGACTTTGAATTCATAATTTCTGAGAGAGGTTATCATTCTATTGGGCTGGAATGACTCTCCAGAGAGGACAAATTTGATTTCAATAGAAGTATCTTTAGCAGTAGAGTTACAGCATTCTAATGGGTATCATTGATATGGGAAAGCAAACGTAGATAAGCTGTGATTAATAGAGGTTTCAAGATCCTTTCTCAAATCAATGCACAGCATAAGTGATCCCTGTGGTGGTAAGCTTGGGAATGCGTCTCTCAAGGTCCACTATGTTTAATTCTTTCAGCCACAGAATGTTGCAAATTCAGCTGTCTTTTGCAGAAAGAGCAGGCCAACCAAGAGATTCTGAGAAGCCATGTGTGCTGTGAGTGTTCAGGTATTTGTCCTAGAGTTGTATAAAAATCACTATACATCTGTCTCCTTTTGTGTATTGCAAATAAAAGGGGAAAGTGGACAAGAGAACAGTGGTCTTCTAATCAGATTTGGAATTAAGTTCAATCCAAAGGTTTTATGAACTGATTCTTTTGGCATCTTACTGATTTTAAAAATAGAAATTATTCAAAACTAATGAGCTCCTACTAGAGAAGTTTAGAGTAACTATTACTGTTCCTGTTGATTTGTTTATCTAGAACAGATAGATACTTACACACAAACTTGATACTGTTCCTGCACTGTATAAAGCACTGAGGAGGAGGGGAAGCACTCTTTCTCTAAGACAATGTGCATCTAAAAGCCTCCTTCTCCATTTTTCAACATTTCAGACTTGATGTTCATTCCAATGACTAGCGTTTTCTTATTACCAGTTATAATTCACTATCTCTAAGGCACCATACATACAGATATGTCATTCTGTTAACATTGTCATTATAATCTCATACTTTCTTTTCTTAAAAATACAGGGTATTTAAATTTTATTATAAATGGAAAACAGTTGACAACCCACCTCCTTCCACAAACTTCATGTCCTTAGTTTGAGAAGAAAGACAAATCTTGCTGATAATTTTCAAATGGGCTTGGACTCACATGAATTTTTTTTCTTCTCCTTAGATAGTATAGTAATCCTAAGTAATTATAAATAATGATGATCAGGGAATCCTTGTTCTCCTAAAAATAGGATGACAGAACTTAATCTTCCTTGTTTTAGATCTTCTCATTTACCGAAATCTGCCTAGGCATTATGCCTTTGACAAAAAATGCGCCTTCTTCTACTTCTTATGTAGTCTAGTTAAGGAGAGGGAAAAAAAAACTGTAATGACCTTGGGGAGAATATATTCCCAGAGACTTACTCTATGGTCAAAATAACATTGCAAACCTAAAAAGCACTTTAAATTCTAGTTTCAGTTAAAATTAAAGCTAAGTGACTATTTTAAAGTTAAAGCTTAATCAATGCTCAGCTCATAGCCATAATCCAGAAAAAAAGTTTAAAAAATTAATATTTTGATTATAACTTTATTACTTAAATTAATATACATTTATACATATATTAAATAATATGTTTATTATATAACCCAATTTATCTTATTGTTTAGAAGAATTGCTCTATTTCTAACAAACTAAAAAAGCTATATATAAAGAAAAATAAGTAGAGAAATAGTCACTCTTTTTTTCCTTCTTTTTTTCTTTTGTTCTTTTTCTTATTTTTTTCTTTTTTTTTTTTCAAGACAGGGTTTCTCTGTGTAGTTTTGTGCCTTTCCTGGAACTCAGTTGGTAGACCAGGCTGGCCTTGAACTCACAGAGATCCGCCTGGCTCTGCCTCCCGAGTGCTGGGATTAAAGGCGTGTGCCACCACTGCCCAGCTTTGAGAAATAGTCACTCTTAAAGTACTTGGCCAAACAAGATAATACACCTTTAATCTTACCACTTGGGAGACAGAGTCATACTGTTCTCTATGATTTCAAGGCTATCCTGGTCTATATAAAGAGTTCGAGGTCAGCTACAGCTACATAGTAAGACCCTGACTCTGATTTAAATGAACAAACAAACAAAAGAAATAAGGAAGACTGGAGACAGAAGACAGATTTGGAGCAGAACTGAATTGCAACAAACTAATTCACTAGAAAACTTATGAGTGTATATACCCACAGACAGCTAAGTGTCCAACAGTACCCAAGATCCATTAAAAAGTGATTGACAGAAAATAAAAATAATACAGAGAATAAAAAAGTACAAAATTAAAAAAATACAGCTTTTGTCAGTGTTGTGGGGACCCTCAATGACAGCTTAATTTTCTCTTTGGTTCACATGCAAAATATCCATATCATAGGTGGCAACTAGGAAAGAGCTTTGTTTCTGGAATAAAAATGATATAATTTTATGTGTCTATTTTATTTTTGTAGTATAATGTTTTGGAAATTTACCATGCAGTTGCATTATGGGTGACTTGTTCTTATTTAGTACCAAGTGATATGCTACTCTTTTATCATTACCTTGTGGATATTTGGATATTTGTATTGCCAGCTTATGACTATTATGAATAATACTTCTGTGAACATTTTTGTGCAATTCATGTGCACATAAATTTTCAGTTCTCTTGCACTGGAACATAAAACTGTAACTACTCTACACTACTGTAAAGTGTATGCAGAGAGCCTAGGACAGTCCCATGCAGGCTCCCTCATTGTCAGTTCAGTCCCTGTGAGACCCTATGAACCCAGATTAGTTGATTCTGTGAGTTTTCTTGTGGTGTCCTTGACTGGCTCTTACAATCCTTCCTCTTCTGTAGGATTCTCCAAAGCTCAGCTTAATGTCTGCCTATGGTTCTTCATCTGTTTCCATCAATTGCTGGATGAAGCTACTCTGATGAAAATGGGGCTAAGCATCAATCTATGAGTATAGCAGAATATCATTAGGCATTATCACATTGGCATTTTTTCCCTCCTGTTGTGTTTGTTTGTATCTTAGGTCTCTGTGTCATCCAGCCTGAGGTTCTAAGCTATGGAATAATGCCTTTGTATACTGGTTTAATAAAATGGTGGTTGACCAGTAGCCAGGTAGGAAGTATAGGTGGGATAAGCAGTCAAGGAGAATTCTGGGAAGAGGAAGGCTGAGTCAGGATTTGCCAGCTGCCACCCAGGGAGCAGCATGTAATGGCACACAGGTAAAACCACGTAACATGTGGCAACATACAGATATTAATAGAAATGGGTTGAATTTAAGTGTTTGTGCTAGTCAGTGATAGGCCCGAACTAATGGCCCAGTAGTTTTAATTAATATATGCCTCTGTGTGTTTACTTGGGTCAGAGTCACTGCAGACTGGGCAGGACACAGGAAAACTTTCAGCTACAGGTCCTGGTACTTCAGGCAGTCAGATATAGGTTTATTTGTGCCATGGGTGTTAGGCTAGACCCGTCATTAGTTAGCCACTCCCTCAATCTCTAGGTCAACCTTTCCCCAGCACTTCCCATAGGCTGGACAGGCTGTAGGTCAAATGTTGTGTGGCTGGGTTGGTGTCCCAATCCCCCTTCTTGAAGTGCTGCCTGCTTACAGAAGATGGCCAGGTCAGGCTATGTATCAACTATTGCTAGGAATCTTAGCTGGAGTCATCTTTATAGATTCCTGGGAGATTTTCTTGCATTAGGCTTTTCCTTGATTTTGAAATGACTTCCCTTCTTAGTAGTCTCTTTTAGTGCTCTTCTCCTCTGCCCCCACAACCTGATCATGTTCTCATCCCCACTTGCTACAGTCCAATCATGAAATTTCTTCTATTTCCCCTTCCCAGGGAAATCCAGGCATTCCCCATGAACACTCTTTGTTATCTAGTTTCTCATGATCTGTGGATTATAGCATTATTATCTCTTGTGGGCGGCAAGAATATATTATAGAGATTCAGCTGTGTATTAAAGCTATACTTTGACAAGCCAAGGGTCAATCAAAAGGCAAGCCATTTATTATGAATGTTTGATACTATCCATCCTTTAATATTTCAGCTGTTTTCTACTATGA